GTGATGTCATCCAACCATCTCATCTTCTGTTTTCCCCTTCTCCTCCCACCTTCAGTCTTTCACAGCATCAGGAATGAGTCAGCTCTTTGCAGCAGGTGGCCAAAGTATTGGAGTTTCAGCTTCAGCATCAGTCCTTCCAATGAGTATTCAGGACTGATCTCCTTTAGGATGGACTGGTTGGATCTCCTTGCAGTCCAAGGAGATCTGTGTAGTTGCATGTGACAAGATGTCCTTCTTTTTCAAGGCTGAATAATATTCTGTTTATATATATCACATCTTCTTTATCCATTGATGCACTGACATACATTTACATTGTTTCCACATTTTGGCTATTATACCCATAGTGCTGCAATGAATGTGGGAGCCCTCAGGTCTCTCTGAGATCTTGATTTAAATTCTTTTGGATAAATACCCAGTATGGAATTGCTGGGTCATATGGTAGTTTTATTCTTAATTTGTTGAAGAACCTCCACATTGATTTCTGTGAGGACTGTACCAATTAACATTCTCACCAGTAGTGTCCAGGTGTTTCTTTTGCTCCACATCCTGGTCAACAGGTGTGGTTTTGTTTTAAGTAATGGCCATCCTAAGAGGTGTGAGGTGATACAATATCTTATTTGGTTTTGCTTTGCATTTCCCTGATGATTAGTCATGGTGAGCTTCTTTTCACAGAACTGTTGACCATTTGTACATCTTTGGAGAAATGTGTTTTTTTTAAAGTCCTTTGCCCATTTAAAAATTCAGTTATTATTATTTTTGCCATTGAGTTATAGGAGTTCCTTATATATTATGGATATTAACTCTTCATCAGATGCTTTCTGCTAATATTTCCTCTCATGCCATAGGTTGCATTTTCATTCTGTTTCCTTTGCTGTGTGGACATGTTTTAGTTTGATGTAGTCTCACATGTCTATTTTTGATTTTGTTGCCTCTGGTTTTGGTGTCATAGCCATGAAATCATTGCAAACACCAATGTTATGAAGCTTTTCCCTTATGTAGTCTTCTATGAATTTTATAGTTTCAGGTCTTCTGCCTAAGTCTTTAATTAATTTTGAGTTGATTTTTGTGTCTGATGTTAGATATGTTCAATTTCATTCTTTTACATGTGAATATCCAGTTTCCCCAGCACTATTTGTTGAAACTTATCAGAACTAACAAATGAATCAAGTAGAGTTGCAGGATATAAAATTAGTACATGAAAATCAGTTGCATTTCTATACATTAATGATGAACAGTCTGAAAATGAAATTAAGAAAACAGTCCCACTTAAAAAAGCATTGAAAAGAATAAAATGCCTAGGAATAAACTTAACCAAGGAGATGAAAGGTGAAAAGTACAAAACACTGCTGATATCCTTTAAACAAAACTTGACTTGTTCTTTTAGGACTATATAAAGTCATAGGTAGATTAATCGAGTAAATAAATTCAGACTTAGTTATAAATGGCTTACTGATTTATCCTCCCCAGATACTGATCAGGAGTATTTTAACCCAAAAGTATGTAATAAGGTAATACTGGCTGAGCTGCCTGCAGGTGGAATATTTTAAAATAAATATTTAAAAATTGTAAACTGCAACACTTGGTTGTCCTGTCTAGCAGAAAACCAGCCTTTTTTTGAGGATTAACATTTGGACAAAATCATGTACATTATTGGGTGTAAATACAAGCAGTTATTCTTGGGAAATCTCTCTGAAATTATTTAGTAAGAAGACATCATTTTAGATTTCTGCACATTGTATACATATAACTTTTCAGTGAGTCTGGGAAAATGCAGTTTGGGAGGAAGTGTGATAATAAGGGAATGGAGCTTTTTTGATCATGCCCTAGGTGAGTTGTATACATATTCCATTTAATCCTTTTTCAGACTCTATGAGGTAGATGTTAGTCCCATTTTGTTATTGTTCTGGTTTAGTCACTAAGTCGGGTCCAACTCTTTTGTGACCCCATGGAGTGTACCACCAGGCTCCTCTGTCCATGAGATTTCCCAGGTAAGCATATTGGAGTGGGTTGCCATTTCCTCCTCCAGGGGATCTTCCTGACCCAGGGATCGAACCCATGTCTCCTGCATCAGCAGGCAGATTCTTTACCAGAGCTATCAGGGAAGGCCTTGTCCCATTTTACAGATGAGGAAGTGAAAGCCCAGGGACGTAGCAGCCAAGTTCACTCTTAATGTAAAACCAGGATTTGAAGCTGCATCTGCTGGAAGCCTCTTTTCTCCTTACTCATTAGGTAGCCTGCCAGGGAGTTGGTGGAGAGGAGGCTGATGAGATCTGAAACTTGACTGGAGCCTTGTGAGTTATGAGCTGCCTTGTCCAAGAAGGCTTCCTGGGAGGGGCAAGTTTGAAGAAACTTCTTAATATCCCTGAACTAGAAAACATTTAAGGAGTCATCTCCAAATTCACAGCCAAAAATCAGGTTAAAGTAGTTGTGAAATTAATCTGATGGGTTGTTTAACTGCGCCCAGGTGTATCTTGTGTTCTTCAAGATCACCAAATAGGGGTGGGCCTGGAGTGGCTTAAGAGGCAGATGGTAGGTCTTCCACACCATTTTCCTCTGGACACTGGGGACACTATGCATGTGGTCACTGAAAGGTCTAGTTTACGTGGTTTGGTAAAAATAGAAATAATCAAAGTTCAATAAAAAGAGCATCCCTTCTGTCCAATAGATTCTGGTTGTTTGCGGGGAACTTTGCCGAGTGACTTCGAGAAGTTCGGAAGTGTCCAAAGATCTTATTTTTCCTGGATGCACCCTCACTGTCATTTATTTTGCTCTCCAGGGAACAGCAGTACACTGGGTTCTCTAGCTTTTCAGTTCATAATATATTTCTTATTAACCAAAGCCCAGCCTTATGCCTTAGCATGGCAATTAGTGAGAGGTCTTTCTTTTAAAAAATTTAAAGGCGATTAAATTCATTTAGGGGAGAACAGTATACAAGACATGAGCTTTAAACTTTTTTTTTTTGCAATTGGCATGGAATTCTGTCATGTGCCAATGTTTGATTATATTATCATCTGGAATTTCGCTGTTGATTTACTTTCCGTTAGGACAAAACTCCCTCCGGCAGTGTCCTCTGAATGGCTCTCTCCCCGAGGTTATCCCACTGTGTCCCTACATTACAGGCAACTCAACCCATGGTGACGACTCACAGAGACTCAGGGAACCTCCTGGGCCGCCGGTGGCCCAATTTGCACGCTGTCAGTCTCAGCAAAACCGTCTCCTGCTTTGTCTCTTTGCCTCCCACAGCGGCCAGTTACAGTTGATGAGCCTTAAACTATGGGGGGTAGAAAGACGTCCAGAGCCATTTCCTGTTGGTGGTGTGCTGATTCAGGACAAGCGCAACCCTGGGGCGTGGGTTTTGGAATACCCTGTGACCAATTTCTTTCTTTTTTTTTTTTTTTTGGTTCTTATGAAAAACTTCCTGGCTTCTAGTACTGCCGTTCTCACTGGGGTCGCCCTGATTGAATCTAAATTCCATAAGTAACAAGCAGATAATAGACGTTTATCCGACCCCCTCCTCCCATCCCTTTTTGCACCTCCTCCCCCTTTATTTCTTTGAGCAAAGGAAGGAGAAACACGCTTAGATCCCCATACCGCACCCGGACCTTTTGGGGGCACCTGGTGGCCAATCAGGAAAACCTGATCCTCGGGAAAGGGTGGCTGGCTGCCGATCACCTTCCGAGCTGGAGAAATCCCGGCGTGCTAACTTTATCCGCGGGATTGCAGAAAGGGAGAGTGTGCTCCCGAGCACAAACAGGAAAGCCTGACATCACGGAGCGGCGGGGTGGCGTGGGGAGGAGTCTGCGGCGCCCTCGCTCGCCGGCTCGCTGGCCGCGCTCCCTTTGTGGCCGAGTCGCGCGCACCGGCGGCGGCGGGCGCGTGTCTGTGCTCCGTGCGCGGCGGCCGCGCGGGGCCGGGGCTTGGAGTCGCCGCGGCGGAGCCGCGCGGGGATCGCGTTCGCCTGGAAGCGGGGCGCATCATGCCGCGTCCACACACCGGAGAGAAAACTGAGAATGAAATTGCTTTGGCAAGCTAAAATGGTAACGAGAACTCTCTGCCTTCTCCCGACGCTGCTCTGGTGGGGAATCCTCCCGCTTTCTCTGGGCGGGTTTTGGACTCCCTCGCAGTGAACGGAGCCATCCGATCCCAGACTTGGGAGCTCAGAGCTTTCTCTCTCGGCTTTCTCCGCCTTCCTCTCTGCCTGTCTTCTCCCTTTAAACCATACTTATTTTTCTCAGCAGTTGCTTTTGGTGTATCTGGGCTGATGTATGTGTCAGCAAAGGAAAACTTTTCAGGCAAGAGGTCTGTGAGTCTGGGTGAACCGCGGAGCGCCTCTGAGTCCCAGCGGCTCTTTAAACACAAACTTCAAGTTTAGGGAAACCCAGGGGGTCGCTGCACACAGCCGATGTGTTGCTTTTTTCTGCACTTGCCAGGTTATTTGACGGAAATAAAATTTTTTTTCCCCCCCGCTAACTTTCTGGGTTCCCAAACAATAAGAGGAGAAAAAAGACTTGCGAAGTATTTCGTTCCAAAGGAGCGAGCACTCTTAGCATTTTAAACACTTGTTTGTGGCAGAGTTTAAAATGCAGTTTGCTCCAAGAACGGAGCCACTTATAAAGAGACAAACTTTTTCTGCCAGTGAATTCTTTTTCCTTTCATTTAAGGAGGAAAAGTGAGCCAGGACTAAACTTCAGTTTCGTTAAGAAAGAAAAGACTTTAGAAAGCTATTTAAGATACGTGAAGGAGTCTAGGAAAAATAAATGGAAAAGTCCTGGGCTCTTGATAGCCTAGGAAAGGGCCGGGGGGCCAAGAAAATCTCAGCATTCCCTCTGCCACAGTGTGTCTTATGTTGCTCTGATTGTAATATTTATTTTGAACAGCCCGTCTTATGCCCTGAGTGCTGTTGTAAGCAGCAAAGCAGCTGGGATAGATTGTGGTTAGTGGAGAGGGGGAAAAAAAAAAACAAACAAATTTTTCTTTTTCTTTGTCCTGTCTCCTGGCAGAGCTCGATTCAGGACTGGGGTGAAGAGGTAGAGGAAGGAGCTGTTTACCATGTCACCCTCAAGAGAGTCCAGATTCAACAGGCTGCCAATAAAGGAGCGAGATGGCTCGGGGTGAGTAAAGCTGGGGAGACTGTGAGCCTTGGACTTGCAGGGCCTCTTGTTCTGTGAATATCATTATTATTTAGCAGAGGCAGGTTTTTTTTTTTCCCTCCATTTCTTCTCTTTTGGCCTTAAAAAGGAAACTGCCAATGACCAAGTGTTTGCACTAGACATACTGGTCTGTTTTTGTACTTATTCTTTTCTGAAGCGTCTCCCTTAGGTTTGTCAATAATTCAGAACGTCGTAGAGACATTTTGAGGTATTTGGCAAATGGAGTGAGGGTGGGGTGGCAGAAATTAACGCAGAGTAACAGGACCAGAAGATAGCACCGCATCACCCGCTGGCATCCTTTTCTCTCCGTCTCCCCCGCTTTTGATCCTGACAGCCCTTCTCCCGCTCCTGTTCTTGTACCAAGTACCCAGAGTGCTCAGGGGCGCTGATACTCCAAATCGGCCTCCTTGGGGGGCGGCGCATTTCCCATGGTTACATCCTTTACACGGTACTTAGTGTCCACCTCTTCATGTGTCCAGTGTTTGGAGGGCTGGGGCTTTGGAGAAACACTGCTTCCATAAAAAACATTTTTGCCCCCTGCTGAGATTTTAAAGTACTGGGTGAGATCATGTGAGTTATTCATTATCTCCTAATGGATCCTTCAGCATATCCCAACTAAAGGGGATGTGGGAAGCCTGGGCAGACATCATCATGTGGAAGAACGAAGGAGTTCTTCATCTGCAGGTAGAAGGAATCCTCCGAGAACAGTGAGAGGTGATACAGAGAGCCCTGAGAAAGAACATAGCGTAAGAGAACAGAGAGGTTGGAGTGTGGTTTCCCCAGGCCTTATTCTGGTCATACTCAGGCTTCACAGCTGATGGGCTTGAGAACAGTGAAGATTATGCACCGGCATCCAATTTCTAATATCTTTGGGTTTCAGAAAGTTCAGGTTGTTTTTTAAAATTTTTTTTTTAAATTTGAGCAGCAGTCAAAGGTCAGGTGCGAAAGAGGACAGGAAACACAACGGCCCAGGGCTTTAAGACTAGAGGCAGCATGTGACTTGCAATTCCTGGAGTTCAAGGCAGGATGGCCAGCAGCAATGATTTCCTCTTCCGTGGGTCTCCTGGGCTGCTGACACAGGCATTCATTGCTTTTGGGCTTCCCCAGCTGCTTCAAGTCAGGCTGTGTATTTGGGGTTGAAGTACCACCCTCTGGGGCAGTCAGTTGTTAGTTGCATCTGTAGGTATGGCCTAGAAAGGTAGGAGCCTTTCCTTTGAAAGCCTGAGGTCTTCACTTATTAAGCAGGTACCTTACTCGGGATATGATTTTGAAATTAATTAGGTGTATCACCAGCAGACCTGATAGGAAAAGCAGAACTAGAGTTCTGACAAGTCATCACTTTATTTTTGGTGGTTGCGTGTATTGCATTTTATTTAAATGCAGTATTGATGTGGTTTGGCCCAAGTATTTCAAAATGATTCACAAGCTTCTGAAGCAGCTGCCTTCAAAAGGGTTATTACATTTTCTGATGCCAGGTTGTTCCTCTCTTTATAATGAGACTGATGTTGCTTGGACGACAGCTTTAGTTTTTGGCCAAACACAATAGCCATGAATGAGTAAGTCACGGGAAAATGGACAGGTTAACTCTGTAGGTCCCAAACACAACGAGTTATGGTTCATTTAGATGTCCCCAGTTATTTGGTAATTCTCACTGACCATTGTGTTCACAGGACTTCTCTTCTCTCCACCCCCTCCCAGAGTCCTCACATTTATGCACAGCTCGGAGTTGGTTCATCCCGGATTTAGCAGTAGAGCTAAAATACCAAGAGGGAAATATGTGAAAAGATTGCTTCTAGTTGATGGAGGGATTTGTCCCCTCCTCCCATTTCAACAAAGTATGATTTGCTGTGATCACCCCTTGTGCTCAGGAACCAGTTCTAGGAACTCTCCCACCCCAATCCCCCTTGTTTTCTTGTCTTTGGTGTCCTGTTGGGAAGCACTGTTTTTGTCCTTGGAAATTCCAGACTTAATTAAATGTGACTCAACCAATTGAGCCATAGCAATTACAAAGCTTTTCTCTTTAGGCCTGTGAGTGGCTTCTCTATACTTGTTTTTCCAGTCACCCTTTCAGAATTCTTCAGAGCAACCAGTTTTATGTATTGACTTATTATTGACCTATAGCTGATGTGCACTCCGGTGTTAGTGGTCCCATATGCTACATGATGATTTGACATTTGCACGCATTTATGACATGATCCATGATAATCCTAGTAAGCCTTTGTCCCCATTACAAAGTCACTGTGATATTATCGACCGTATTCCTCACGTCAGAGCACCTGGGTTTATAGTGAACCAGAGATGGAGATGAGGTGAGCTCATGTCAAAATATGACAATGGTTCATGAGGAGAGGTGGAGTTGTGATTATCTCTTTCCACATGAGGAAACTAAAGTCAAGAGAAGTTAAATTGCTTGCCGGGGTCACACAGCTAGGAAGTGGTAGAGGCTGGATTTGAACCCAAATGTTTAGTTCCTTGCTGTTGGGAGCTACCTGGGACCTGAAGGCTGCCTCCATAGTAGTGGAAGAAACATTGACTCAGAAGAACAAGGATGCTTTAATATACTTTCCCCCTACGTATTACCTGGTTCAAGACTCAAGACATACAGCTTTCTTTTCTTTATGCTTTGAGCGATAACTTGAGCTGCAAATTGAGATATTTGCTGTGAAGATGTGTTTCTTGTTGATAAGCTCTCCATGTTGGATGTGTAAAGTGTGGGGCACCAAAGACGTACGAGTTTATGTAGCACCTGAGGGGGGGTATGACTCTCACTACAAGTCTATAAGGCTAATTAGGAAAACCTAAGTGACTGAGTGGGCTTCCCAGGAATCTGCCTGCCAATGCAGGAGACGTGGGTTCAATCCCTGGTCTGGGAAGATTCCCTGGAGAAGGAAATGGCAATCCACTCCAATATTCTTGGCTGGGAAATCCCATGTAGAGCCTGGCGGGCTACAGTCCACAGGGTCCCTAAAGAGGCTACAGTCCACGGGATCCCAGAAGAGTCAGAGACGACTTAGCATCCGAACGACAACAACAAAGTGACTGAGTGTAGTTTTTGTAGTTTCTAGTACTCTGATCACAAAACAGAATTAAGATCCAATTTGGGAAGGATTAAAAAAAAATTACACATCCTCAGATGTGAAGTATCATACAATCCAAAACGTTGAGGACATTCTTTGTTTTGTTTGTGAAATTTTGTGTTCAGTTGCTCTTTTGAAGTAACACTCTGTCTTCAGTTGTAAGTATACAGTCAACTATGGCCCAGGCTGGATTTAGGTGCATGCAGCTGCAACTTTGCTCACTGACAGTGAAGTTATGCTGGGCAACTTTGAAAAACCAAATATTATTGAAATACGGATCCATTTTTCTCTTTATAGTAACATCTTAGGCTGGGATAATTTTACCCAACTATAACCCTCAAAGAAAAATGGTTCTGATTATGTCAGAGAATCATAAAATCTCAGGACTGGAAGAGACATTAAAAATAATGTATCCAACTGTTTGATTAAGCTTATAGAAAAATTTCCAGTAATTTTTGGAAGAGCAAATAGTGAAAAGTTATTATTCTACTTTGGTCCCAGTGTCATGGTCATACATTGACAATGAAATGTAGAAATGATTTAGGAAAATATCAGTATTCTCTGGAAGCAGGAAATGTCCCATTTTAGGAGGAATATTCAGATGGACCGAGGAAAGGGAACCACTGTTAGGGGAAGGGCTTCAGTGTCCAGAGCCCATTTTGCTGTCTTCAGACTATGGCAGGCTCAGGGTCCAGAGAAATCTGTCAAACCCAAGGTTATCTCAGAGTGGGGATATTTGTTTCACAGGCAGGATTGGAAGAGTGCGGTCACCTCTGCAAGGTCTGTGGGGAGTGGAATGGTCAGCAGATAGTCACATGGCTTTTCTCGGTTCTGGGCTTCTGTGGCCCCGTGTGTGGGGCCCCAGTGCCTCCCTGCCCTTCGGCCCATGTTTATCACACTATCTCCCACAGAGGCCCTTGTTGGGTTTAATTGAAATATTTGATAGCTGGGAGGCTGGTAAAAATAATGAAATGGGACAGGAGAAAACAGAATGCCTTTAGAAATAAAAGGAACTAGAACTCTGTTCTAGTTGCTCGTGGGTTGTATGAGTGCAGTGGGAAGGTAAGCACAGTCAGGCTGGGTGGAGACGTTGACCTCAACTTGAGTAGACTGTTGGGGCTGAGTCTACCTGGTGTTGACACTACCCTGCTGTCAGTAGTGCCTTTAAATGGCATACAGTTCTTTGCATTTTCAGCTCACTTCACTTCTGGGAAGCTCCTCTGATCTCCCTGGCCTGGAGGACGTGCCGCTTCTGCATGTCTCAGAGGCATTCTTTATCTCTCTGTCATGTATTTACCTCTCTCTGCTGTAACTGTTTGTTTGTATTTCCTATTAGACTCTAAGCCCCGTGAAGTGGGAACTGTGACCATCTAGTTGGCAGAAACTCAGTATTTGTTGAATGAATGGATCAAACTTCATGCCTTCTGGGGAGGCAGATATTGATAAATATGAAGGTATGGTTGCTCCTGATTTAAAACCAACTTAGCATGAAGATATTAGCTTACAGAGAAGAAGGGTGTGTGGAAGTGAGAAAAACTAATTAGCTATGATTACAGCTGTCTTACATCCTTTTTATAAAAAAGCAGGGCCCAAACAAAGATAGTGATTATTCATTTTAACAACAACAACAAAAATCATGGCAGTGAATTAACTTGCCTTTTAAAGCCCAGAAGTCCAATTGTATTGAGTGTTGAAGAAAGAAAGGTGATGCACACGTTAGAAAGTGTTGGCAAACATTACCATCATGTGTGGTCGTATGGTCGGAAGGCTCAGGAGCGGGGTTTTAGAATTTTAAGGAGATAAGCCTTAGAGAGGCCCTCAGTTTATAGTTTGTCATCATTGTTTTCATCTAGGGAAACAGGCCCTTGGGTTGCCTTATTCTGA